TAATCTGAGTTAGTTTGGTAGAGGCAGGGGAATTATTTATAGCATAACATTTAAACAATTAACACTTTTGCTGTAGCTGGTTTTAAACTGACTTGGTCATGTAAGAACTATTTATGTAGAACTAAAAGTTGAAGCTGATGATGCTGGTAATGTGCATCTACTCGCAGCAACTGGTAACACGGGTAGCTTTATTATAATATTTCGAGAATTTTATAAGCTTTTAAAAACTTTAGTCTTTGAAATCAAATACATTTAATCAGCAGATTTTCAAATCTAGTAAGTCTTGTCAAAGTCATATAAATATACTAAGGTTTGTCTTGGGATTTTATTTTTAGATCTACTTCTGCAAAATGTAAAGGTGGCATAAAGTAGGGTTGTGGTTTGTTTAGATTTGTTGGTTTGTTTTGGGGTTTTGTTTTGTTTTTTTTTTATTAATTATTCCAGCTAGATTTTAAATCTTCATGAGGCAGGAGCTGTGTTAGCCATGAAATGTAAGGCAAAAGTTTAATTGTTTGTTTCAAGCTGTATTTAGGTGGAAACAGTTTTTAAAGTGGAATCTTGCTGCTGGTTTTGTTTGTTTGTTTTTTTTTTTTTGTTGTTCTAAAGTCTTAAAATCTCCTTGCACCTTTTTTTTACTGTTAGGAATCATATGAGCGAGCAAAGAACATCCTGAAGACTCATGCAAAAGAACACAAGAATTTAGCAGAAGCTTTATTGAAATATGAGACTCTGGATGCCAAAGAAATCCAAATTGTTTTAGAGGGAAAAAAACTAGAAGTAAGATGATAACTTCTGCGATACAGTAACTGATAATTTGAGGAATACACATCTAGCAATGCAGTAGTCTTACGCAGCATAGCCTTTTTTTCTCTTCCTGATGTGTGTATGGCATTAGTGACACTTTAATATTACTCTGTCTCTTGTGAGCTTCTGTTACTCATCTGTTTGTCGTGTCTCATCAGAATAAGACACACAAAATAAATCAAGTTCCTCATCCTCTGCTCCCTATGCTCTTCCCACAAGAATTTATTCAGAAGGATAAATCTCAGGGTTGAATTTAGCATTTTGGTTCAGTCAAATGTGTTGAAGCTGAGAAGAAAAACATGCCAATGTACTGGTGGCTTTTGGCATAGCTTCCTGGGTCATGCTGCTACGTGTGTTTGAAGTGATACTCCACAGTATGCGCTACGGAATGTTTTATGGATAGTGACAGATTGATTTGTAGAACAGTAGTACACAGTCTAACTAATGCTCATACTCTGAGGCTTGAGATCACTTTTAGAGAAGACTTCTTCTTTAGAAATGTAACAAAACGTGTCTAAGAATGAAGCAGCAATGCAGTGCATCTCTATTAAAGGGTGTTGTGGGAGCTCCATGTTAGACAAAATCATCAGTGATTGTGTTTTCAGTGCTCTTGGGGTTAAAATACACACATGTATGGCTGGGAGAGAAATTTTAATGCAAAAACAACAGGCTAAACATGTCTAAGCCTCTTTGGACCATGTTTTGGGCAGAAGCGTGGTAGGGATAAGAAATACCTGTGACCTCTGATGTGCTGCTGACAAGATTATTAGATTTTTTTAATTACTGCAGTAGATGGATAACAGTGCTTTGATGACAGTGCTTTTACACTGCTGGAGATTCTACAGAACTAGTTTCTACTAATACTATGTATGGGCGTTTGATAATCCAACAGATAATTTCTTAAGAGAGGACAATATTGCTCACTAAAGAGTAGTTCAGAAAATGTTTGAAGCATGTGTTGTTTCAAATAACATTCCCAGTTCTGTTCTACAGTAGAAGCAGGGAAATAAAACCTTCTATTTCAACCCTTACAGAAACCTCTGGAAATTCTAAGATAGTAAGTTTTTGAAAACGAAAGCAGTTTCCAATCAAGTGTCCAGAAGTGACTGCTAGCAATTATATGCCAGCATTCTTATCTCATGGAGCTGGTTTTTAGGTATTACACATCTTGATGATCTTTCTGCGCAATTAATTGTAGACTGTTGAGACTATAAACTTCTGCTGCAGAGAGGGCCTTTATTAGCACATTAATGTTGATGGTTACCATACTTGGACATTAAAATATTTGGGCTGGTGCCAATAAATGTGAATGGAAATTGGTAGCTACACTTAAAACTAGAAGTAACATAGTATTTTAGAATTTTCTGAGTGTAATGCTTGATATAACCTAGTTTTTTAGTAAGAGCACATGCATTTTTTTTCTTTCAAAACCAGAATAACTTTCTATTTGCCTATTTTTGTCAGTTTACTATAGTGACATCCCAGTGCAGTGTGGGAGAACTTCCACATGTTATAAAACAGCATACCAAATGTCTAGGCTGACTAGTTACAGTTGTACATGTATTTTATGAATATGCCAACAGAAACAGAAATATACTGCATATTTGGCATCTGTTTTTGGAGTAATAAAGGTTAATTTTAATTATGCATATTGGTTTTCTTTTTATTCACTGTAAATTGCTATAAAATGTAATATCAAGTTCCCTACTATGTAAATTGAGGTGTATAAAACATTTAAACTTGTAAATAAATCTAAGATGATGGCAAAATTGCACTTTTTCTAATTAGATTTCTAGGGTATGTTCTCCCTAGAAATTTCAGTTGCTGCTTCAGTAGTGGGACTTGAATGGGAACTTTTCCAGCTAAATAGTGTGAATGTGCATTTTGAAATAAAGGCAAAAAAGCTTTTCACTTTTACAGTCACTAAAATCTATATTGAATGATCTGGTTTGGAGGGTAAGCCCTTGAAGTCTAGCTTAACTTTTATTGAGAAGCTTCTTGCTATATGCAAAGAAGTGAGCACAGTCTCAAAAAAAACACCAAAAATGTTCTATCTCACTGGGCCGTGGAAGAAGATTGTTAGAGATTAGCCATCAAGTGTAAAATCTATCTTTGCTTTCTGGCCAACTTAACAGCAGAGGTGTTACTCAAGTTTCCCCTCTTACCTAGATGTGTGCATGTGATATTTGTGGAGTTTCTCTGAAACTTGTTTATTCAGGCATTGGGTTTGACCTCTGGTGTTCTTGGGTGCATCTAGGAGCTGAAATTCTTCCTCACAAAATCATTGGACAGAGGTTTTAAATAGCCCTAAACTGGTCACAAGCATGGTGGCACATAAAACAGGGACTTCAAAATTGGGCATGATTCTGAATTTTCTGCATTCCTGAGCCTGACTTACACCACAATTCTGCCATCGAGCTTAATACAAAGAAAACGCAAACTTGCAATTGGCCTGCTCTTTCTGGCAGCTTCCTACTGTGTGATGACCCGAGTCAGCTGAAATGTCACAAGAGTTTTCTAAATCTTGATCCCTTATACTGACTGGGAAAATAGAGCAATCAAGCCATTGGTAGTTGTCTGCTCTCTTGATCTCCTTGGAAACCTTTCCTAGAAGCGAATACAACTATTTTTGCTTCTAAAACATGGCCAAAGAACAGGGCGAGAGGTGAGTGTACTCACTTTAGGCCACTTGCTCTACTTCCCTCAGAAGTGTATTTCCATGTTCTTTTTTTCCAAGAGCATGAATCCTTTTCCTTCTGTCTAGTGTTTATCAAGATGCCTTCCTCTGGTGTTGGCCAAGGTGAGTGCATAAGCTGCTCCTTTGGCAGCTTCATCAGCGCAGAAATGGCTGTATCATTTGCCTCATTTAATGGGAGAAGGGGGGACTCCGGTGCATGGGGTTGGGTTTTTTTGGTTTGGTTTTCTTAAATCTAGCTTTGTGGTTAGTGCCCGGTCCTGGAAATGTAATGCTGCTGGCTAGAATACTGAGATTCAGGTGGTAAGGGCTGTAGTAGCACTGGCGTTTGACTTCTACCTCAGGAGCAGATTTCTTCCAAGACTGATAACTAGTTTTCAGTCTTTGACTACTATTTCAAGAACTGCTTCTCCTTCTATGAACAAAACTTGATTTTCAACTTTGGAGTGCTGCAAGACCCGTAACTTTTTATATTTACCCATTATTACAGAGCTACTTTCACAGACTATTCAGCTGCCTTAGTGATGAAACAATGCCAGATTTGGTTTGAGTATCTTTCCAGGTAAGAAGGTTCCACAGAAAAGCTGGAATGAGAGGGAAACAGCATCCTTTGGACATGGATATATGCAGGAAAGTTCAGGATACCTTTTGCAAAGAATTTCATGTAAGAATTCTCAGGCTGTCGTAGGTAGAGGGGTGGGTGGTAGGATGATCAGTAGTTTTGATCTCCACAAAGTAAAAAAAACCTATTGCTCTAGAACCTAGGGACCAAAGTAGGTATGGAAAGATGCATCAACTGAAGCGCGCTTCTGGTTTTATGCACATTAAGTACTCCTCCAAAAACCATCTTTGTGCTTGACTTAATTTTGCTTTTACAAAGGGATATATGATGTGTCTTAATGATGACTGTAGCTGTTACTCTTCAGAGCATCTCTAAAGGTTTTACCTTCATCCATCACTGTAGTATCTGAGCAACTAACATAAAGTAGTATTCATACCAAAGTTTTGGGTAAACTCAGTGTAGTCTGGCACTTGCCCCTTTCCCAAAATTTGAGAGGGTGTGCACAGAATCAAAATGTTTTGAGAAGTTTTGGTGTTTGATTTTTGTTTCCTTTATTGTGGTACTTTGTTAATAACAGTTTTTGGACATAAAGTTGTGAGTGTTCTTTGATAAATGCTTTTGTTTCATTCAGGCAATATTGAGTAACTGGACACACAATTTTTCTTGTCTGTCAGTGGCTTATCTTAAGCTTTATGTCGCTTTCATAGTGAGTCTAAGTGGAAATTAATTCAATGCCCGTAGACTATGATTCACTGCTCTGAAAATTAGTATCCAGTTTGTGCTGAAAGTAAATTACTAATTTGTGAGTGACTTGACTTCCAGTCCATTGTCCCCTTGTAAGGATTCTGCCCTGTCAACAGGTGAGAAATCTGCACGGAACAGAGGCAGACCCTTGCTTTGTCACATCTGATGCGTTTCTCAGAAGAAACACTCCATAGCTGCAGATTTGGATGGAATGCTTTAATAACTCCTAGACCAATTTTTCCAAAATTACACACATCAATTACCATCAGTCACTGGATTTCCAACAGGTAAACTGGCAACCAGTGATGAACTGCCTTTTCATCCAGTGTCTCGTCCTTACAGGTTAAAAGACCTTCTCATATATCCTTACTTCTTACGCAGTGAAAGCTCCTCTGCTCTACTGATACATCACAGGATGGCTTGTCACTGATGAACACAGTAGAATTTGTACGTATATAGTTTTCAGACTGACCAGCTGAAACCCAAGTTGACTTTTCACTTTGTCCTCAGTCAGGGTGCGATTTGCTCTAGTGAATCCTTGCCCTGTCATGCCATGGCACAGCATCTTCCCTTGTGGTTACTCAGCAGGTCCACACAGGTTCTATCACTTACAGCATATCCCTTCACAAACCACAGCAAACAAAAGCTGCAGCCAATCTCCTTAAAGCTACATGATTAATCTTAGTGAGAAAAGGGGACACCAAGAGAAGATGGATTTGAATAGAAAATGTGAGTCAATTTGTGTTTCCCATGGGCTCTCATGCTGCATTAGAAGCCTAAGCTGCCTTCATCTCCTGAAGGCTTAAGGAGTTACTGCAGTCTGAGGCACATGTGACCTCTTGTGATCTTGCTGTAAAACCTCCAGGTTTGAGCCTCCTGGGGAAAACCTGTCTTTGGGCTCAGTGTTGGGCTGAGTTACAGCACCAGGGTACAGGGAGTCAAATGCAAACCCGTGGGAGTTACTCTTCCCTCCTGGGTGCGCTGCCTGACAAACCTGTAATGTCGTCCACTAAGCTGATGCCGTGGTTGCTGTTTATGATACTTTTACTACATTCAGCAAACAAACACTGTTTATAGTAGTTTTAATACATTCAGCAAGTCAAAAAAAAAAAAATAACAACATTAAGGTGATTGTCACACACACACAAAAATGAGAAATGCAAATCCATTCCGTGCGCTTTCTTCTTCTGTTATTCTTGCCTTTCTGAAGCCTTTGCTTCTCTGTTGTATTTATTTTTCTATCTTTTGTTTTCTTCACTTCTTATATTCCCCGAAAGTCATTGCATTTTAATCTACATATAATAAATATATACCGTATTACATTTAACTTTGTCACGGACAATCTTTATCATTTCTAAACCTAAGCTCTAGCTTGTTAGATTCGGTCTTGTGGGGTGATCTGCCACAGTTTCCAAAAAAGGTTAAAAACACCGGAATAAATATGAGACCGTGAAGAGCCCCGAACAAAATGACAAGGAACATGATCTTGAAAAACGTCCTGAAGATGTAGGTTTTTGCTGCAGCCAGGACAACTACTCCTAGTATAGTAGAGACTGCACCTTGTAATACTGGGTAACCTAGCAGGGACAGAGCTTCGCTTGCCCTTTCATTGGCTGACGCCTCTTTACTCGTAACAAAGGCATAGGAAATATGAGCAGAAAAATCGACTGAAAACCCTATACAAATGACCAGGTTGATCATGGATATGGAATCTAGATTGACGCTCCAGAATGTCATGAAACCGGCAACACCAACGATAACAGAAGCTATAGCAAAAGTCACCCACAAGCAGCACAGCGGGTTGGGAATGAGCCAGAGAGAGACAACGAGCATTGCCCCGGCAGCGACGACAACGTTCTGAATGGTGTTCTGCACTATCACCAGGTACTGATCGTAGTAGATGAAGGCGGGGTGGTACACCATTAATGGAATGCTGCACTGCTCGGCCGTCTCTCTTAACTCATTGAGAAGATTCTTCTCATCAACGGCCGAGGTCACGTTCACCGTCTGGATGAAAAAACGTGAAGCTTCTATTTTATCCCGAGTCTTGTTAATGTCCCACTTAAAACTGTGCACAATTTGGAACAGTACAGTTAAGTCATTAATAAAAAGAGTCTCATCGTTTATATGTACCAAGCCACTCTGGGCAAGTTTTGAGTATACTCTCAGCCACGAGACTGAGAGGTTCTTATCTACATAGGCAATGCCCTCCAAGTTCTGCATGCAGTTCTCAATGCCAAGGCGAACAGTCTCATTCCAGTAATCTACACTTTCAGTAATGACAACCATGACCCTGGGCCCGTACGCTGAGAAGTATTTGTCGTCGTCATAGTACGGAATAACGTAAGAGTCATCGCTCGCCAGATTTCGAAGATCGATGCCTTCCCTGATCTGAGTACATCCATAAATGCTGCCACCCAAATATGCTCCGTACAGCAACACCACGAGTAGCTTGATCCAGGTACTTGTAAGAAAAGGGCCATAATACTTTCTAAAGAATATGCTCATTGGATGTTCACCTTCTGGCTGAGCTGACTGCCCAGAACAGTTGCCTATACAGCAAGCACTGTACAAGCAGGACATCTCAGCCTGGTCTTTATCTACTCCCACAGGCATGCAGGTTAGCCAGTGTCGGTTCCCTTGCTCCCTTCTGTGATTTAACACAATAACTGCCCCAAAGAAGGTCATGGTATATATATAGCAGAAGACAAAAGCAGTGCCTGTATAGAGGCAAAATGATCTCACGGACGGAAAGGCAGTCCAGGTGCCAATGAAGAAGGCCAAAACGTCTGTGAGAGTGGTGATGGTCACAGAAAGTGCTGCTTCTGCATAAGTCTCAGCCAGGAGAGATTTAACAGATTTCCCTTTTTTTCTTGAACTTTGTTCCCAGCAAGCGATCATGATGAACATGTCATCGACACCAACTCCTGCGAGAGGAGAAAAAGTTAATGCTGCATTGCAAAAGGCAGCTTCCACTAACACCCAACAGCAGTACAAAATTCATCACCTTTAAGGCTGCATAAAATTTTGAAAAAGAAAGCTAGGCTATTAACATTGCTTTAGTGCTGATGCAAGTTAAGCAGATGCAGGAAAACGGATCCTTTGTGTGCAGCTGAATCTGTTACGTTTCAGAAGCTTCTGGTGACCCGACAGGCTGTTAAGCTCACACCCTGAGCTGCTGAAGGACTAAGCACACCTAGTCCATCTCTGACAAGTGTGTTGTAGCTGCTGTCCGGGTGTCCAGTGATGTCGATCACATGGATTTAAATGCATTGCTTGTTTTGATGCTCAACTGCCCTTATCACTGGAATCGTCCTCCATTATCTCTGGACTCTCTGCAGCAAATTAGACGAATAATTCCCTGCTCTGCCTTCAGCAGATAGGGAGAACAGTTCCCATCACATGGGAGACCAGTGATCCCAGTTTTCCAGAGGTTCACTTTTTTATGCTCTTTGCTCTCCACTTCTCCCCAGTTTATCTTTGAGCATTTGTTCATGATTTAATTTGCATTTATCTTCACATTTATACCGATGCGCTCACATATATTACCTACCAGAGTGCTGGGAAACCCTGCCAGGAAGACAGGTCCTGGGCTAGCGTTTTTGCTAAGACACAAAAGTAAGCAAGCCAAAGTTCAGAAAGGAAGGGCCAGTGTGCTCTCAGCTCTGCTCACTCTCAAGATTGTAATCACAGACCTTACGGTTATTTTAATCACACAAACAGGGAAAGCAAGACCACGTGAATAGAGGAGCAAGCACAGATGATACAGCTAAGCATGAAAGAATAGATGAAATCACTACGTCCTGCCTGAACAGACGGTTGCCAGTAGACATGCAAAGATGAATTAAGCAGCACATCAAAGGTACTAGTGGATGGCAGCAAGCCAGGCTGCTTCCAGAAAGCAGGCAGGCTTCAAAGCAATTAATCTGACGTGCTGATAATTTGTTTGCTTTAACACACAGAAGACAAAAGTCTGCATGTGATTTACAAAGAAGAGACTGGCTTAAGCCCTTTCCCAGGTACACAAAAGGGTCCTTCTGAAATTTAGAGCCTCTGCAATTGATGAGCAAACAAAAGCAAATACAAAATGCATTTGAATTATGCAGAAAACAAAGAAACAATATGTGTCCTAAGGAGCATTTACATTTGGCATCTAGTATGACACAGAGCCTTTACCAACCCAGAAGTTCCATGTGCTTTCCTCTGCGTGAGACCAAGACCAAAAAAACATCACATGAATTTCTCATACAGGACACCAGGTAAGGATTTAAAAAGCAGTAATTTATTTGCAGCAACATTATCTAACGGTATTTGGAAAGTTCTGCACTGGCTGTCAAGCAGTCTGTGCAACCATGATGCGATGATACTAACTTCCTTGCATTTTTTGGGGGAGCCGGTTGCACGAATGGTGCATCACTTCAATTGTATAACTAAAAGAGATTATTTATTCTATATTGCAGAGGAAATTTTGTATCTTAAAAAAATGAGATAGATTTCTTCTTTGAAATTACAGACAGTCCTGCCCATTGCTTAAGCTGTATTCAGGCCCAATTTTATCTGACCAAAGACTACACTCTGAACATGGAATACAAACACAGTAACTTACTTCCCAGTAACTTACTTCCCATATTCACCTCCTAATACAGGGACCAGGTTAAGTCAGTGCTGGTGTAGCCCGAGCTGCACACTGGACACATGTTCCATGGTGCTGCCGTTGAGCTACCGTGAGGCTGACTAACAGCAGAGAAGCAGGGAGCTCTCACTGGACTGCAAAAAGAGGGGGTCAAGAGGTGGATGGTTTGGGGGAGACCTCTGCACCTGCTTGAATTGCTGACAAATTCAGCAGTCCCATAGGTCAGTACTGACAACAAACTGTTTTGGGGTGGACAAGCTTATCCAGACCTTATGAGATATGCAAATGCTTACAGTATGCCTACAGAAAACAGCAGGGGAATGAGGTGACAGAACCCAGTTGAGCTCACTTCAAGTATTAGCACTAAATAAATGATTAATCGTCCTGGCTGAAGTACCAGGGACGCTGGTGAACAATGCCAGAAGTGCTAACTGTACCACCCTCTCCTTTACCATTTTCAGGCCGTAGCACTGGAAGCAGAGCAGGTGTCGTTTTTTTGGAAAGAGCTGCCGTTGCGGCAGCGCCCAGCTCCAGCCCCAGTGTAGGCACACTGAGCTGAGCCGCTCACCCCCGGCAGGAGCTCAGAGGCGGCCGCACCACCAAGTGTCTCCTCCCCTCACTGCAGGACAGAACTGCTCACATCAGAAAAGACTAACACCGACAGGTTGTTCTAACTCCCCTTCAGTCTTTGTATCTGAATCCGATTCGCTTTGCCTACTTACCCAGAATAAGAAATGGCGCGTTTGCTACAGTGACGACAAATGGCACTCCACAGAAGAGCATCAGTCCAAAGCTACTTAATACAGCTAAACCGGCAGAAACCACTCCACAGCATGCAAGCCAGACATTATTCCTTATACAGCTCAGTCTGAAAATATTTTAAGGAATATCTTAGTTACACGTCCAATATTTCACCGAGGTAATTTGCATGACAAGTGCACAGATACCAATGACATCCTGTCTGTAAGAACTCTTGCCGAAAGCTGCTATTTGCTACGAGAGCTCCCAGGTGCCAGCACTGGACAAGATCAATTTATGTAGGAGGTGCTAAATACATTATTCCTGCTGGCCAGTTGTATACCTGAGTGAAGATGTGTACTGATTTTTGCATTGTAACAAGAGAGCTGGCAAAAAGAAGATACGTAAGCTCTACCTGTGAGAGGCTAGATTTAGGGTGACGCCGCAAATGACGGGAATTTTAGAAGCTCTTTCCTTTTACATGGGTTCTTGGTGCAGCGTAGCAGTATAGTATGGAAGCATCTCACAGGCAGCAAGTGCTGCGTAGAGCAGCTTTCTGAGCAGGCAGATTGGCTACCGGCCATTTGCCAAGATGCCTGCGAGGGCGGGCTCAAGGATTCCCCGTAAAACGCTCCCAGTGGGAGACTTCCCACCACACTGAGGGAAGAGAGACAGCTGATACCCAGAAACTGCAGAGCCTAACGGGCATGATGCCTAATGCAAGCACGAAACCAATAATCCACCCCCCCACTAGAATTTCCTTTCTCAAGCACAGCACACAAACACTGCTGTACAGCTGTTGAACTCACAATGGTTCACTCTCCACCAGCCCAAAGAAAGGGGGAGCAAAGTTCTCTGTGGACAGCAGCTAAGGCTCAGGCCCTGCTAGCAAGCAGAATACCTAAAGCTGTACCCAAACTTGCGGTAATCTGTGGAGCTAGTGCTCGTTCATCTGTACCTTAACTGAGAAAGGGGAAGGAAAAAGGTGCAAACAGGTCTTTAACATGGTAGACTTCCTCCTCCCTCCCCTGCCTCCTTCCCCTTTTTAACTGATCTTCACAAAGAATTAGTATCTCAACAGAAGGATGAGCACAGCAGCTACAAGGAAAGCAAGAAAGTACTAGAATAACCTTAGCAATAGCCCCACTGATTCCTTCCCTCCCCCAAAAGGATGACTTTTCTGTTTGACTTTCGTGCATCTTTTTGGTGAATGCCTCCACTGGGGATGCCAAGTTGAGCTGCTAAGTTTTATTCAATGGAAGTGCTTGTGTGGAATTCTGCCGCTGCCAGGCTGGCTAGATCACGCTTCTGGCCCCCTTCCCGCACAGGGTGAAGCAGAGCCCTTTCATCATTAAAAGTGCTTACTCTGGCATAGTGCTTTTCAGTGCCAAATCTACAGCACCTCAGCCCTCTTAAAAAGATGAAGAATAGGGGCTTGTTTTAGTTGTTCAAATAGCTTCAAAAGCGTCAGCTACAAAAAGGATTCTTATGAGGTGGGGACTACGGGAACGACCGACGGCTCCAGAGCACAGATGAATGGATACCAGCATTCAAGCTGTGCATCTCTCAACTGAATGCTTGTTCAAGTGTTTGTCTGGTATGTACCGTGAGCCCTGTTTAGGCAGCTGGGAAATATGCACATGGAGGAGAGAAGGAGCGGAGACACACGTTTTGCCTATCCCTAAGTATCACGTGAAGTCTGCAGCTCCAAGAATGCCTTTGCTTGACAAGAGCAGAAACCAATTCAGGCAAGGTAAAGAAGAGCGCCGGTCACTTCTCAGTGATCCACAGCTTAGAAGACATTTTACCTTAGGCAAGAGATGACCGAAAAGGTTATTGTCAAGAAGTACGTTATGGAGAAGAGTGGGATCACGCTCTTGGTATTTCCTTCAAACTCCTGTTGTCGGGACAGCGAGGTGAAGTAAGTCACCTGTTGTTAAAACAAGGCCAGAAAAGATGAAGCACTTCGACTCTTCTGCTTGGTCCTTATCCACACGCGTGGGCAATGCTAAACGCCGTGCTGGCACCAAGGCCAACATTTCTGTGGCCCTCGCAACCTGCGGGTGCTCCCGCCCTGCTCCCTCCACCGTCCCCTTTCCTCTCCGCGAGCACTTCGAGCCCCCCCGCACGGCTGCACCCGCCCTGGCCTCACCTGGATGGAGGCGAAGCCCAGCGCCTCCAGCTCCGACGGGATGTCCCGCAAGAAGCTCTCCAGCCACCGCCGGCTCTCCGCCGCGCCGGGGCCGTCCTCCCGCAGGTAATACAGCAGCTTCAGGGCCCGCGCCGACAGCACCCGCCCGCCGGCCCCCGTCCGCACGCCGCCCAGCGCGGCCCCCAGGAAGACGCCCTCGTAGACGGGGAAGGTGAGGTTCTCCAGGGCGGCCGCCGCTGCACCGCCCAGCCGCGGCAGCAGCGGGTTGGGGCTGGCGCAGGCGCCGCCGCTGCGGGCGCAGAGCTGGGGGTAGCCGCGGGCGCGCACCGCCGCGTCCAGCCGCAGCACGTCGCGCCGCGCCGCCGGGGCCAGCACCGAGCCGCCCCCCGCCGCCACGGCGATGAGGGCGGCGAAGGCGCCCTCGGTGGGCAGCCGCGGGGCGGAGAAGCGCTCCGAGTCGTTGGTGGGGAAGTGCTGCCGCACGAAGTCGCGCTCGGCCTTGGCGGGCCCCCACGTCGGCGTGAACTGCCCCTCGATGTCGTTCGCCTGCCGCTGCGGCAGGAAGAGGAAGCCGGCGCCCAGCCCACCCGCCAGCAGCAGCGGCACCAGCGCGAAGGGCCAGGGGCAGGCGGCCACGCCGCTCCCCAGCCTTTCGAAGAGGTGCCTCAGCGGCCGCTCCACGCAGTTTGTGTTGCGGCAGGAGCAGCTCTCCGCAGGACGCTGCGGCCCCGCCATCGGCGAGGCGGAAGCCCGGGCTGCCGGCGGCAGCTCCCCCGCCGCGGGCGCGCCTCACGCCGGAGCCCGGCGCTTCGGCCTCTTGCTGCGCCGAAGGAGAGCCGCCCTCTCCCCGCCGGCGCCGCGGAGGGAATGAGCGTTTTCCCGCGGCGCGGCGAGGGCCGTCCCGACGGGCCAGGCGGCCCGGGTCCTCCCCCGTCCTGACTCACCGGGGCTTCGCCCGCCTCCCCGCGGCGGGCGGGCGGGGATACGCGGCTCCCCCCGCCGCGCCGCGCCGCTCCCCGGGCTCGGGTCTCCGACGGGCGGGCACCGGCTGCCGCCGCGCCCGCGCTCCACCTGCCGGTTTGGCCCCGAAAGGGCCCGGCCCGCCGCGGCCGCGGGGCCGTTACCTCGCCCGCCGCAACGGCGCCTGCAGCCGTAGCGGGGCGCGGCGGCGATGCCTTCTCAGCGGTGATGGTGCTTGGAACCGCTGTCTTTGCCATCCACCACCTCCTACCTGTGCACTTCGTTTCCTGCCCCAGTCGGTCGCCATGGCTGTCTCTGAAGCTACACCAAAGGGTAGGGTCTGCAAAATGATCTGCAGTGACGCAAAAGAAAGTGCCCTTTTGCACAGACGAGTGTGAAGCATGGGCACTTTTCTCTCTCCGCTGCTACTGACGACACGTTGTTTAATGGCTGTTGGAGCCGCTTGCTTGCACTGATGGGGAGCTCTGCCAGCCAGGTGCCTTCACCGTGCCCTTTCCTCTTGCTCAGGCACTTGCCAGGCTCCTCGTTTAACATAACAGGGTAATCCTGCAAAAAGAAAGTGACTTTCTGTGTGTGTAAAGAGCTAAACAAACTCACTGTGGGTCAGGTGAGTCTCGGGACAGATGCAAGGGGAAGGCTGAGGTACAGCAGGAGGAAAGAGCACAGCTGGTAGCAAGGCTGTGTCATGAACAGTTGTCTCATGAAAGCTCACATGTAGTGGGGAGCTGGGATTACAAGTAATTTTGGAGTTTGGGTTCAGGAGCTCATGTCTTGAGCTCCCTGTAGTAAACAGGATTCTTGGGTATGTGAACAGAGAAGCCTAGGGAAGGGACTTCCATAGTATATAATGGAATCAATTAGACTGATGTTACAGTATTAAGTTTAGCTCTAGCTTCCATGTTGTAAGACAGAGGCTGCATAATTAAGAAGTGAGGGATGAGGTATAGTGATCCTGAGCCGGGGAGCATTCCATATCGAGGAGTTAAGAAGACCACACGTAAGTGAGCCTGTGCTGTGCTGCGTGCCCAGCATGGCCTTCAGGCTGGGTTGTGCTGCACCGCTCCCTTCCCGCAGGATAACCTCAGCCAGCCCATGCTTACAGCCTGCAGGCAGCTCCCGCTTGGTACCAGCGATTAGTCAACGTAGACTTATTTTTCTTTACTGTTTTCCCCAAATTTGCTCTAGTCCTTAGATCACCACTAAGGATTATTCTCCTGCCTGGGAGCAAAACATAGAGAGTGGTTATGTACATCTTGCTGTCTTTGCTGTCTTGGTAAACAAGCTCACAAAACAGGGGAGTGAGGGCTGAAGAAATTAAAGACTTTGGAACAAGGTTTAGTGAACTCTGGATAAAAATAGACCTGTGTCTGGGACTACGCTACAGAGACACACCTATCCTCATAGCCACACACCAAGAAGACTTCTGGATAACGTGGCAGTGGACCAGGCTGTGGATGATCGGTTGAAACTGCAGCAGACATGAGGAGACAGTGTCTAGCTGAATGCTTTCAGTGTGAAAAACAGCCATGAGGGGTTACCGACTGTTTTAAGCTCAACGAGGTAGAAAATAAAAGTTGACCACTCCTCATAGGCAGTTTCTTTCTGGCTCCTCAGGAGCTGAAGACAAGCTCTGGTAATGACCAGGAGGTAGGAAATGGCCTGGTGGCAGGAGTTACCTGATCAGGGTACCCAGTGCCTTGGGCACAGGCAGGTGCCTTTAGGTTCACTTTCTGAGGCTTGGAGGCCTGACTTACGGTGTGGGGAGATGGCTCCACCAACTCTCACTTCAGAGTGGTCTTTAAGCAGGAGGTATGTGCTAGTGTTCTCCAAGAATCTGTATTCCTAACCTTGTTCCCTGGCCTATTAATGCATTTTGTATTAACTTCTAATAGGATAAAATCTGAAACACTCCTTGGGGCAGGGCCAGGAACTTCACTGCAGGACTCCCAAGCAAGTTGTGCTTTTTCTGTATTTGTGTATGAAGCCACAACCTCTCTCTTGAGAGTTACATTGTGTTTACTCAGTCTAAGACTACTGAAGATGAAGTGGATACTGAGCACAGGTCTCCCTTTCAATGGATGTTTTCTGCTAGGCTAGTAAATAAAAACGCAGATGATAAGCCTTTTGTTGCCAGGCTTTGCAAAGAAAGCATCTGTTGTTCTCTTCCTTTCATAATACAGTTGGTGGTTGTTGGGTGTGTGCTGTGGTAAAGGCATTGGCTCTTCAAGCAGACTTCATATAGTTTGTGTTTCCCGGTGGCTTAGAAGGGTTTTAGAGGCTGGATGCTAAGTCATGACAGTTCTCTCTATGTGTGCACAGAACTGTGGGACTTGAATCCAGATATATTGAAAGATTAAAAGATAGTAGATAAGAGAATTTGAACTTCCCAGTTAGAAGACTATCTTTGATGTTTAAACTGATTTGTGATGTATGTTGGCTGTAATATTTTTCTCAACAGCGAAAACGTAATAAAATCTGATTTGTGTGTGAATTTGCATAGCTGACAAATACAAGTTGAAAGCACCTCACAAGGACTGATAAAATGCTGACATGATTTCATGGTGTGTGTGCAAATTGGTGCCAGTGTCTTTGCTGTGAAATGCCCAGAGACATTTCAAAGTAAGGTTCCAGAGAATTACTGTTTGGAAATATCGCCACACAGGTCAATATTCACAATACCATATGTCTCTGTGTTTCCCAGTGGTAATGAAATGGTGACAAGCAAAGCAGACACATATCTGACATGTCTAGAAGAGAGCAGAGAGGAATAATAGCTCATACCCTATATTTAAGCAGCATATGCTTGTGTCTTTGCAAGATCTGTGGAGATGCAGAAATACAATCCATTAATTTCTGATCTGCCCAATGGCCTCATCTCTAGATGGTGTCAGAATGTGTCGAACACAGGTACAGAGTCCATTCCAGGCCCACATAAACCAGTGAAGAGCAGCTGTAAGAAGCCAATCAAGAAACAAACAGAAAAGCAGGTCCCTTTCAGTTGTCCGAGTTGCCTCCCCGTTGCACAGAAACCATGGTCAGACCATTTCCCAGGAGGGCAGGAGACCTGAGTTCAACCCCACCTTCAAACCGAGGTGCCAGAACCTTCTCTCTTCCACAGCAGGGCCCACCGACAAGCACTGGGGCATCTGTACCCTGCAAGAAGCAAGGAGAAAGGAGGAGAATTCAGCCCAGATCTCCCTCAGGCACAGCCCAGGAAGGCTTGTCTCTTGCAAATGCAGACAAGGCTTTGGTCCTGGCTTGAATGTCACGATGGTTCCAGGGCTGAACCAGCTCCTAGCTGAAGAGACATCGGGGCAGGGAGATCAAATGCATTTTCTAGCGTGTTTGACTTTCTGCACACTGCTTTGAAATTAGGAAACAACATATGCCTGGCTGGTAGACTTCCCACTTCACAATTGTTTGAAAGCTCTTTTTCAGTTTGCCTCAGCCTCCATTCCTGCTCTAGCTGTGCTTCCCTGTCTTTTTTGCTCACAAGCTCTGTGAGAATAATTATTTATTTTGAAGGGTAGGCTGTCCTCAGTAATGTGGAGACAAACGTGATCTGATGTGTCTCTGTACTCCTCTGTCTTCCAAAGATTTACTGAGACTGGAAGCGATTCAAACAGTTTTGTAGAACCATAGAATAATTTGGGTCGGAAAGGCCCTCTGGCACTCAGCTCATCCAGGCCCCCCTCAGAGAAGGGCTGGCTTGGGCATTAGGCCAGGTTGCTCAGGGCTTTGTCCAGCTGTATTTAAAGTACCTCCAAGGACGGGGATTCCAGAACCTCTGGGCAGCCTGTTGCAGTGTTTGACTACCTTCACTGTGATTTTTTCCCCCTCATAATTGTCAGGGTTTGGTAGTGGGGCTGCAGGGGTGGCCTCTGTGAGGAGAGGCCGGGGGCTGCCCTGAGCTGGTCACAGCCGGTTCCAGCCGGCTCCAACGGACCCACCGCAGGGCACGGCTGAGCCCATTCTCAGGGGAGTCTGTGACACCTCTGTGAAAATGTCACAAAGTAAGGGTGGTAAACACCAAGCAAAAGGAGAAACAAGGCCAGAGCAGGAGGAGAAGCAGGAAAAAAGACCAGGCGGGAGCAGGAGTGATAAGCCAAAGACAAATGTTAATCCACTGTGGCCTTGCATACCTTGCTAATCATTGGTCCTCAGAGGAGGAACTTCAAGGACTGATAAAGGAATCATCTTGTTACAAGAAAAGATAACCAAAATGAGAGAATTATGCCAGGCACGAACTCAGCAATTTCTGTAGTAACTAGGGGAAAAATGAAGGTGGCAGGGGGAGACCACTACCACTGTCTCAATTAAAGACCAAAAAGACGCACACTCTCACACCCCTCCCCTGGCCTGTAATGAGCATGTGTGCTAATTTACATAGCAAGCGAGGTTAATTTAATTATAACTAAACAATGAGGGACAAAGTGATAAGAAACTAACCAATGGTCATTACAGTAATTGTGTATTCGTGTAGTTGGAAGTGTATAAATACATAGCAGTTCTTTTGTGCTGTGTGCTAGCTTTGTGAAATTACCATGTAGCGCCCATCTCTGCACAGACATGAAATAAAAGAAATACCTTGACCTTGTGTGTATTGGCTTGCATACCAGGTGAAAGAACACTTCTTTTGGGATAACAGGAGGAAGAAAGAACACCATGCCTGGGCAGGGGCTGGAGCCAAAGGGCTGCTTGAGCAGGAGCTGAGAGGTGCAGCCCAGAAGGGGCTGCTGCCAGGGAAGGAACCATCATGAACGCACTGGCCCCAGTCTCTTGCACTGCCCACCACCTTATCCAAGGGGCTAAGCATAGCTATAGTGAAGGAACTGAAAAGCAAAAAAGGCTAGTGGGGGGAGAAGATGTGTCTGAAGGGATGCAGGAATGTTTTTCCTTATGGTTGGTTGTTTTCAGTCTTCTAATAGATTGTTAATTGGCAAATAAATTACATTCATGGAAATTCTCTGAATGAGTAAATAGGTTTTGCTGACAATATCTTGAGCAGCCAAATGGGAGGTGAATTTGTGATTTCCTCTAGGGTGGCTTATTTCTTAAGAATGTACACTTCCAGAGAAAACCCAAAAGTTATTCTGGCACCAGGAACCGGAACTAACGGATGTTTATTCATGTTGAAGGTCTGCCCTTATTTGCTTTGGAAACACACAGTGACTCTGTGAAATTGCCATTTGCAGGTCCCTCAGGATGAGTGACAGCTGCTCATCTACTTGATGATGAGTCTGGTATTTGCTGTGAATATGGTAACCTTAGGCATTATGTAGGAGGGGTCGACATCAACACAGAGGCAGCTGTGTTGTGCAAAAAGCTGTTGCTGCCTTACATGATGTATCCAAGCTGTCAATATCTGTTAGGCTTGCTCTGAGGCCATCTCGATGTGAGGCTCTTCAGGAATTTCTATTTTAATTTGAGTTTTCTTTTTTATTTTTAGGAAGAATGAAGTTGCATAAGTATTTTAACTGTCCGGGCAATATGCTGTTTCTATTGTACAATATAGTGATGGACAGAATTTCAGCTTATCTGTATAGGATACTGGAAAGGCAAGGTGAGTTGCTGGATTTTATTACTTTAGCTCTAGGAATATTTCTTTTCAAGCTGACATAAATAAAATTCCTATATCCACTGAGATTTCAGAATCCTGAGGTTTTCCATGACCACTAATCTAAATTACACTTTTAAAACCCTGGACTGCTATGAGCATGATGTAACTTGAGGATACTGAAGAACTTAATCAACTTTTGTACTTGTACTTCCTTATAAAAGATCCAAAAAATTTCACTTTCCTTAATGCATATAAATGATTTCACAACTCACTTCCATGCGAACTGTAAAAAGTTTGCCTCTTTAGTCAGTCTCTTAATAAGGAGTATGTTATCTTTGTAGACTGCTTTTTTATTACATACTTGTTTATAAGCTTCCTTGTAAAATGGTCAGTTAGGTCCTCAGTATCTTCAGAAACTGTAAGTGCATGTTATTTATGGAGAAAAACTGCAGAGTGAAACTACAGTGACTTCCCTTACTCTTGCTTTGATCAGTTAATATCTGTTTTGGCTTTGTTTTTAGTTTCTTTAGTTTTCTGAAACAGTAAGATTATTTTGAATATTTATGTATCAGACAATACTGATCTGAGCACAAACAGAACTTTGACTCAGCAGATCTCAGATGCCCAACGAAGATACTGAAGGAGCTAACATGAACATTTATTCTGTTATCCATATAAGGGATGACCTTTCATAACTCTCCCCATTTCATTTATGGGAAAGTAATTGCATACATCCTGAGATGTAAAGTTTCTGCCAACCACACAAGCAGAGTAATCATTGCTCTTCTGTGTTAGTGTTTCTGTGCCAACAGGAAGTTAGAGAAGTTATCCACTTCTTAGGTCAATACAGGCACTCCTGCCGTTTATTTATTATGGGTATGTGTATCAGACTAGTATCTTCTGTTGCTGATGCACCCATGGAAGTCTGCTTGTGTGGCTCTATCTGTGCCTATGCCTTTATATTTTTATTGACATATGAATTTAAACGTTTTTGGGGAGCCAGAATATTTGCAGAAATGTCAGGACCCAGGTAACCTGCTTTACATACCATACAGCTTCTTGAATTCCTATGCTTGGAGAGCATTTGAAAGTCCTCCTGAAGTGAAGCCCCATTTGAAATTATCCTCTGGAGCATTTATTTTCAAATTTAGGTTAAGGAAGATTCTGAGGAAGTACTGGAACAAATGTCTGCTGGTTGCAAAGCGGGGAGTCTCACTAGCCAGGCATATGTTATTTCTTAATTTCAAAGCACTGTGCAGAAAGTCCCACATACTAGAAAATGTATTTGCTTTCCCTACCATGCTGTCTCTTCAGCTAGGAGCTGGTTCAGTCCTGGAGCCATTGTGACATTCAAGCCATGGCCAAAGCCTTGTCTGCATTTGCAAGAGACAAGCCTTCCTGGGCTGTGCCTGAGGGAGATCTGGGCTGAATCCTCCTTCTCCTTTCTCCTTGCTTCTTGCAGGGTACAGATGCCCCAGTGCTTGTCGGTGGGCCCTGCTGTGGAAGAGAGAAGGTTCTGGCACCTCGGTTTGACAGTGGGGTTGAACCCAGGTCTCCTGCCCTCCTGGGAAATGGTCTGACCATGGTTGCTGTGCTGTGTGTCTATGTTTTTATCTACATGTGGATTTCAGTTTTTTTGGGGGAGCCAGAATGTTTGCAGAAATGTCAGTATATGGGTAATCTACTTTACATACAATATATCAGAAACCTGTAGAGAATCTCAGCTTCTTGAATTAATGTCATCTTGGGAGTGCATTCCCTGGAATGCTGACATGTCCCACAGAGACTGCCTGTCCTTGAGAAAGGACGTCTTTGGTCCCTGAGTAGTGACAGCCGTGTTAGATACTACTTCTCATAAATGTACCAGAGTGCATCCTGATATCACCTTG